CTATAAGCTGTCTGAGAGTCACTTTTCGCTAAAATTGATGGTTTTCCCTGCAAAGTGAAAAAACTGTTTTCCTCACTTATTTGTTTAAATAGAAAAGTTAGCTAATAAAAGTTTTTGACTCACGAGACGAGAGATGTCTTGTATTATGTTCCTTTAGACAATTTTACAATAATTTAGCGGATAGGACTTTTTTCGAGTTTCTCTTTTATTTTCGCTAATTTTCCTGGTGTAAATGTAGGTAATAAAAGTCTCTATGGACGCACAGTCTATGGACTATTTGCTTAAAATCATATGAAATAGGCGTTATTGGTAAAAATCTTCGAAGGTTTGTTCAATATACAGGCGTTCCTAAATAAGTCTCGTAACAGAAAACCGTAAATTCCTCTTGAAAAAAGAATCATTCTTTCCCTCTTCCATTTTTCTTTCCGGGCTTTCGTTTACGAGATACACGGTGAGGGTTGCTTTCGCTGTACAGCAGGAATAAAACGCTCTTTCAGCGGTAATAATAAAGAATTTTATTGAAAACTAATGTATAGAAAACTTGTATAGGAAAAGACGTGTTGACGGGGTGAGCGTTCGTTGGAGAGTCCCTGTGTGTGGAGTCGGTCGTAGGTATATGGGTACGCATCTGGTCGCTGGCAGAAGTCCCTGGTCCTTGGCGGCACTCTGCCGGGGTCGTCTTCCGGGAACCCTGTGGTGCGTCCGGCGGCGCTTTTGACGTAATGCTTAAAAATGGGTCACTTGCAACATGTGCAGCCACACACGGTGTCAAAACTATTTTTTTTTTAGTTTTTTGCCAATATCTTAGGAACCGTTTGAATTACAGGACTGAGCTTTTGTACACACATTACCACTATTAATAGCTACTTTTTCGCACTCTTCTCGAATTCATTGGACGTGCCAGTGGTAGAGATTTGAAGGTATTGTAAGGGTTTTTCCTCCCTAACTTTTACACCACTGGACAAATTGACATTTGACAGCAAATTCTGAAGCGCCAGTGAATTTTACACAAAAAGAGTTCTCTTGGTTCATTGCTTTAAAGTCAACCGTTTTCAAGAAAAATGACTTTTTATGAACAAAAACAAACATTTTGCTAACGTTTTGAAAATCTTTAGTAATTCAAAAAATAGGTAGTAAGTAATAATTAACAATTTTAACGAAATTTAACAACAGATAGGATTTTAACTTTTTTTTATCAATTAGGCGAATAAAATTTACAAAAACTGTTCAAAAATACGTTCTTGATATTGGCAAAAAACTAAAAAAAAAATAAAGTTTTGACACAGTCTATCTTGAAAGCGCGGAGAGAAAAATGGTAGAGAAAAAAAATGTTTCTTTTTTTAAGAAGAATTTACAGTTTTCCGTTGCGACACTTATTTAGGAACATCCTGTAGATACGATTTTTACATTGTACACTAATCCATCTTAGAAACATTGCTAGGTTCTAGTAAATTCCCTTGTAAATAAAAGGGGATCAAAATTGATTCTTTGTACAAAATGTTTTGAAATTGAACGACATTCTTCTACATCGCTAAGTGTTTTTTAGAACTATGTGACCTAGGCGACGCGTGGGCTGTAGGTATTTCAGTCGGTGTCAGTACTTACTGGAAGGCTATCATCATGATGTTCACGATGGCGATGTTGTAAATGGCGTAAGTGATTAGCCTGGCCTCGTTGTAGAGGGACTCCGCGTTCCTGACATTGTAGCAGACCCTGATGCCCCAGGCGAGGAACAGGACCTCCCCTGAAATTAAATAGACGTTTCTGTACTGAATACTGAAGAATGGCGGCTGTCCGTCAAGTGTCAGGTTGAAGGAAATACGCGATTCCTTTGGAGGATAAAAGACGACTCTTAATAGACCTTATACAAGGTGGCCAAATGAAAACGAAACAGAGCCATTTTCAAGAAATGCGTCAATATTGTAGAAGTACGCTTAGACCCTTAAATTAAAGGGGGACATTCTTTGCTGGTATTTTTGACTCCGCCACTTTCACCCCCAAGCAAGGGTAAGCATCACCCCAAAATATTTAAACGGCATTGGGGGTTGAGTAATATTTCTTTTGAAAGCTCTTACAATTTTCTTTACAACAGACTTTAAATTTTATAGTTCCGCCCAATACTTATTAAGAATTTTGATTTTAAAGTTGAAACTTATGTACATACAGTTAGTAACGGTAAAAATGTCAGTCATTTGAGTTAAGTACGCCAATGGTATAATTTAGTATTTCTTGCGATACATTGGTTTTTGGCGATTTTTTATAACTCGTAAAAAAACACAACTGTAAAAAACAGAAATGAATGCTATACACACACAATGAACGTAAAATTAGTGGATTCCAAACTATGTTCTACTATTATTTGGAAACGTTGGTTGGTAGTTTATTTAATTGTGTTTTTGAAAATTAAACACTATGGTTTATTCCANAAAATCTGAAAAAATGTCTTGTATCTTTGTTAGGTCGGAAACTTTTCAGATCACCCTCGTATACTCTTGTCAATCGGACAAGAAAAAGTGAGATCTGTTGGATAATTTCGAAATTAAACCTTTCACCTTACCTCAATTTTTGGGTGTTATTTTATTAACACAACTTCGTATCTTTAAATTTTCTCAGTGATTTCATAATAATCTAGTTTGCAGATTTGATGTGTTTTTGTTTTGTTTTGGAAATTTAAACGCACTACAAATTTTAATTACAAATCAGGCGGCAGAGAGTGAATTTCAGTTATAAGCTTAAATTTTTCCAGTAATTACTTTCTTCGGTTTTCATCACGGTTCTTTAGAGACGACTCAATTCGACTTTATGAGTCCTACACAGTTTAAATTTAGGGAATTAACGACTTACTTTTGGGCCGAAAACGAGAGCGATTGTCGTGCTGGTGGAAAGCTGCGTCCTTATGAACCCCAACAGGTACTTAATGTCTGGGCCAGCCCGGGGGAATATGAACAGGCTGGAAAAGAGATTATTTTTTATATTTCGCTCGACAGACAAGCGACTGGTTTAAAAATATACATTTTTATGAGAAAAAATTACTGTACTGGCGTTTTTCTTATGAAAAATGTAGAAAATACCGTGGTTTACCGAAAAATATACAAGGTGATTTTTTGAATACGGTAAAAATAAAATGAATAGATGTCGCTACAGAGAAAAGTTCGTAAGTGAAAAAAATAAATGTAATAAAAGACTCTGTGGACTATTGCTTAAAATCAAATGAAATAGGCGTTGGTGGTAAAAATCTTCGAAGGTTTGTTTGTTTATTATACAGGGTGTTCCTAAATAAGTGTCGCAACAGAAAACTGTAAGTTCCTCTTGAAAAAAGAAACATTATTTTCCTCTTCCGTTTTTCTTTCCGGGCTTTTGTTTTCGAGATACACGATGTCACAACTTTAATTTTTTTTTTTAGTTTTTTGCCAATATCTTAGGAACCGTTTGAACTACAGGACTGAACTTTTGTGCACACATGACGAATATTAATAGCTATTTTTTGCGCCCTTCTCGAATTCATTGGACGTGCCAGTGGTGGAGATTTTAAGGTATCGTAAAGGTTCCCCCCCCCTAACTTTTCCGCCACTGAAAAAATTGACATTTGACAGCCAATTCTGAAGCGTCAATGAATTTTACACAAAAATAATTCTCTTGGTTCATTGCTCTAAAGTCAACTGTTTTCAAGAAAAATGATTTTTTATTAACAAAAACACACATTTTGCTAACGTTTTGAAAATCTTTTGTAATTCAAAAAATAGGTATGTAGTAATAATTAACAATTTTAACGAAATATCAATTTGGCGAGTAAAATTTACAAAAACTGTTCAAAAATATGTTCCTAAGATATTGGCAAACGTTTTGACACCGTATATCTTGAAAGCCCGGAGAGAAAAATGGAAGAGGAAAAAAAAATTCTTTTTTCAAGAGGAATTTACAGTTTTCTGTTGCTACACTTATTTAGGAACACCTTGTATTCGAGATACGATTTTTACATTGTAGACTAATCCATCTTTGAAACATTGCTAGGTTTTAGTAAATTCCCTAAAGGTGATCAAAATTGATTTAAATTTGTACAAAATGTTTTCTATATCGCTAAAAGCTGTTTTACATTGACAATTTATTCATCAATAAATTGACGAAGTTCTTCATTAATTAATTCACGAATTTATTGGTAAACAGTGTGGTTTTACACTGCTACAGGCTTTGTCAAGTTTTTTGACGTACGAATCAGTTCTACCAATGAATCAAAGCAATTAAATTTCAAAAATGTCACCTTTCCACTCATAATTGTAGTGATACAACAGCGGTACCGTTCTGACACATATTATATAAATATTAGTTTTTGTAA